CGTTTCTGAACTGTAAGAATATCACTCAGAACATTCTGAAGGAGCGAAATCCTCAGGTATATCATATTTTATCACAGGAGCTACCATGATAGCCCTCATGCCTATTGTATTACTTGAGAGGTCCTTCTGTAGTAGTTGTAAACACCTGTTTGTTTGCAAGGCTCTCTTTATGACGGTTGAAATGAAAAAAAAAAAAAAAGAAAGAAAAATTTGGAATTCTTACAACCATCAGGCTATTTTTTCCTGGCCACTATGAAGAGATGATTTCGGCGACAAATTCCGAAAATTTTTCAGTTTTTCTGCTGGCTTCAAAAACAACTCCAGGAGGAATATGCACAAATGCAGAAGTATGCAGAATGGCGAGATGGCCCCGAAGAAGTAACTGTGTAGTCATCCAAGATTCAACCTCAAGTGCTAGGCCTATAAATATGCGGCACCTGGTGCATTACTTGTACATTTATGTTTGTAAACTGTGATTTTGCTAATAAATGTGGAAAAGGATAAGAACTGAGAATGAACCGAATTGCATTCAACCGAATTGTAATAAATCATAAATGCTTAACAACAGAATCAGTCGAACGTCTCTACAAAGTTACGTAGGTGCTATGTGCCCAGACCCATTCAGGATGGAACATTGCCGGCTTCATAAGTGGTGAAATGAAACGGTAATCACCCGCTATACCACACGAGTGTGGAGAATAAACACAGGAACGGAAGTTTTAGCAAACTACTGCTCATCTACAGTAAGTATGGGCAACCTCTGGCGACACGCAAATCTGATTTACATACTTACTTAACCTCGTGGTCCACCTTTTAATAAAACTCAGATAGCAACGCATCAGGCTTGCCCATGCAATCATGCTTTTTTGCGCTAAACTGGACGCAATCAGATCGTTAACAGTAATAAATGTTGTTGCTTTAGAGCTTAGCATATGTAACTCGTGCGCCTCTAATTTGGTTTTTTTCTTGCATGCGAAGGAAAAAGGGCGTCAGCTGGGACAGTAGTGTTACATCATGGTCCTTCCCGTTGCTGGGTTGAAAAATGGGTGACAAAGTTCACTCGCTTCTGAATAAATATACACATTTTTTTCACATTATGCGTTTCTGCATTTGCATAAAATGCAAAAACGTATATAAACAGATAATTTTTTGAAAAAATGTTCATTCAGTAAAAAAAAAAAAAATAAAAAACAGAAGGTTAATGTGAGTTTTGTGTTTGAACTTTGGCGCAAGGTTGTTGAAATCTGGATTTATATCACTGACACAAAGTAGTTCAACGTATTTTCCAGAATGTCGTCTGTTAGCCTCGCATGTATTTTAGTTTTACTCATTTTCATGAGAGTGCAGAGGGGTAGCGAAGTACAAACCCCCGTTCGTCTAGTTAGGCACCACATTCCGATTACCTCCGCGGGCCAGACTAAAATCGGATGCAGGCCGCCGGTTACCCAAATGTGATCTACAGCAAGTTTGAGCGGTACAACCACGCTGTATGTAGCTGAACAATTTAAAGTCTAAAACACTTTTCACAAAAAAAAAATTACAAGCCAGCAAGACGGCGACAAGATTTTCACTAAAAACAAGAAGAGAAACTGACTGAAGGCACCTTATGAAG